ACAGAGTATTACTAATGAGATAACTAGAGCCTCAAATCAGACGATTAAGAGACCAATGAATCCGCTCTAACTGCTGACCAGAAAAGAGCGAGCAACCGAAACGAATCAAAGCAACATTCCCCTCTGCGCCTTCTTTCGCTAAGTGTCAGGAACATTTGCAAACTATAGGAAGGGCTCCCATGGAAATCGGCTCCACAGAGGAGCAGAGCAGCCCTTTCCCAGAGTGGCTCCCTTTCCTACCACCCGTGTGTGTTCTGAGAGTTTTAATACTGAGAAGCTACACCAGGGCCCTGCTGCCGACCCCTTCACTGCGGGGGAGTCATCAAGCACAGGTTGGCTTGAATGACTGCAAGAGTCACGATTATACTAAAAATGACTGCAACACGCATTATAAGAAAACTGGAGAATGTGGCACTTAGATCTGTACGAATCTCATAGGAAGAAGTATCTATACTTATGAGAAGTACAAAATCTTAACGACACTAAAGCCTATTTAAATAGAGCATAATGCTTGACAAGGGTTAAGAATCAGCATTAGTGCTCTGAAGTACCCATATACCTCAGAAAAGATCTAAGAAAGGTATAAAACACACTGAAAACTCTACAGTAATTAACTCGCTAGAGACATCTGTGGGTGAAAACTAGGACCAAACAGGCTGCTGAAATCTAAGAGCAAAGAGCAGAGACACAAGGGCTCAAGGAATAAATGATAAAGAAACAAAGACTTGAGATGTGAGCTGCCAAAACCCAAGATCCCATTGAAAGCAGAGCACAAAGATAATACTCACTGCAGAAAACAAGGCTAGGAAGAGAGGTTTTAGAAAAACAGAACAAAATGAGTTAGAAAAGGAACAGTTTAAAAAATTAGAGAAAAAAGGATAGTTATAAAAGATGGGTAAAGTGGTCCAGGAAATGTACAGTTATTCAAAAACAAAAAGAACAGAAAAAAATTGAAATTTATAGCTCAAGAAAACTTTTCTGAAAAAAAGCAAGATGCAAACTCACTGTGCAAAGGGTACACTGTGTACTACGGAAAATTTGAGAAAGATCGACCAGTATCAAGACATATCATCATGAAGTTAATGGACTTGATAATTTAAAAATGCTATTGACATCTGGACCAAAAAAATCTTGCCTTGTATGTGACAGAATGGGCTAGGTTATGCTGTAGTAACAAACATCCCCCAAATCTCAGTGGGTTAAAACAACAAAAGTCTATTTCTCACTCATGCTAGACACCCAATGTGGATAAATGTGGGTGAGTTACGGGAGCTCTGCCCATTGTAGTCACTCATACTGATGGTGCAGCCACCATTTGTAATTTGCCAATTACTGTGCCAGCAGGAAAGCGAGCTCTAGAGAATCTCACACTACAGGTAAATACTCAGGCTTGGAAGTAATACACATAAGTTGTGCTCAAATGGCCCTAAGCAACCACAAGGGGACTAGGAAGTACAATCTTACCACATAAGAGGAAGGTGCAGAGCTAGAAATATTTTTAAACAGCATTAATGACAACTATATACCAAAAAGGGAGAAAGCAATAGGCTCACTCTAAGATCTTTCTCTATAGCAATATTTAATGTCAAAAGAGAATGGCACACCATCTATGAACCACTAAGGGAAAAAAAGCAATGTGTTCCTCAAGGGAGGGGATCATTATGGATAATGATTCCAGGTTCTGCCTAGGATGTAGAAAGCTAAAAATAGCACTGCCCCCACCATTACAACACCAACAAGAGACTGGGCACTGTGCAAATTCACAACTTAAGTTGAACCCATCAGACAGTTGAGGTCACAAAGCAACCAACTAACTCAAATTCTAAGGAAAGACAGACGTCTGCACAGCCAGACATGAGCACCTGCTCGCCTGGGGCAGATGGAGTCAGACACCAGCTCTAGTGGAAGACGTGGACAGTGTACAATATCATATTGGTAATTTAGCAGAGAGATGGAAGTTCTAAGGAAGAATCAAATGAAAATGCTAGAAATAAAAAACAGGCGCAGAAATGAAGAAATGTCTTTGACAGGGTCATCAGCAGACTCTACAGAGCTGAGGAAAAAATGACCAAGTGGAGTTTATCTTGGAAATGGAAGGCTGGTTCACCATTCAAAAGTCAATCAATGTTATTCACCGTATTGGCAGACTAAAGAAGAAAAAGTATATGAACATCTAAGTAGATGAAGGAAAAGACTTGGAAAAATCTAACATCCATCCATGATAAAAACCCTCAGAAAACTAGGAATAGGAGCGAACTGCCACAACCTGATAATGGGCATCTATGAAAAACTCATAACTAATGTTGTATGTAATCCCTAGAGCCAAAAACAAGGCGAGGACGTACGCTCCCACCACTTCTATTCAACGCTGTACTGGAGGTTCTAGTCAGCACAATAAGGCAAGGAAAAGAAAAAGAGGCATCCAGATCAGAAAGGAAGACGTAAAATTGCCTTTCTTTGCATATCACATGATTGTCTACATACAAAATCCAAAGAATCTATAAAAGAGCAACTGGAACCAGTAAGTGAGTTTAGTAAGATTACCGGATGCAATATTAGTAACAGAAATCAAATTTCTATATACTAGCAATGAACAAGAAACAATGAAAAAATGTAAAAGTGCCATTAAAATAGTACCAATAAACATGAAATACTTTGACCATAAATATTATAAAATATGTTAAGATCTATATACTAAACACTACACAACACTGATGAAAGAAAAGAAACACTGATGAAATTAAAAAAGTCCTAAATAAATGGAGAGCTATATCATGAATATGTCAATTCTCTCCAAATTGAGATGTAGATTCAATGCAACCTCAATCAAAATCCCAGTAGGATTTCTGTAGACATTGATAAGCAGACTCCAAAATGTATATGGAAATGGGAAGGAACTAGGATAGCCAAAACAATTTTGGTAAACAACAAAGCTGGAAGATAGCAGGAAAGAGACCCTCACTTCTAATAGTCTCTCATTGCCTTGACCTCAGATGAAACTCAGCTCCCCTCCAAGATCAGGACCTCAGTCGGGGGACAAGCGGAGGCTGGTCACTGCTGCTACTTCCAGATCATTGGCCTCCCACCTCAATCATAAATCCTGCCTCCTCTGAGCCTCAGGCCATCGGCTCTGACAGTCTTTACCTCTACTTAAGTTCTTTTAAATAAATTCATTAAGAAGTTTGGTGTAGTATTTCTTCTGCCTTCAGCTCTTACCATTGTCCCAGGAAAATTGAAACATCCATGGGGATGGGACATTCAATGAGGCTCCCCAGCCTTGACTTGAACTTCGTGACTTCAGTATCCTTCCCTTCATTCCATTTGTGCTACCCCACCCCAAGTGGTTTCCCATCAGAGCACTAGAACAGTGGAAAAGGGTGGGACTGCCAACTCACCAGCTCACCCTAGGCCTGGCTGCATTCTCAGAGGGAGCGTTGTTCCAACACCATCATCACCATTCAAGCCATGGTCACATCCTCAGGGGATGGAGGTTCATGAAAGTGGGTCCTGAGAGGGTCCACTGAGTGCAAGTGTCAAGAAGAACTCTGACGCCTTGGGAAAGCAGGCCAAATACCCTCAACCCATCAACTGAGGAGAGAGAGGTAACTTAGTTGCTTGACTGCATCCGCACACTCAAGTGGCCTCCAGCACTGACAGGTTCCCCTGGGGATGCATCAGCTCTTCCAGGGGGTAGTGGTTGCACTGTAATTATAATTACTTGTTGTCTTGTTAAGTTTTTTGAACATGCAAAGAAAAGGTGCCCAGGTTGAGGAGGTGACTTAGGAGTTGTCAGAATGAGATCTCAGAGTGAGCACTGGCTCACGTCCCCATCCCAGGACAGCTGTGAAAGGCCATGGGGAGCCCCAGGCACTGACCCTGAGTGGCCCCAAGATGCAGTAAGATAAAAACCATGGTTGTGTGCAATGTGGGACAGCAAGAAACACGTTTCAGGTAAGAGGACGGGCCCTTGAGTGCTGCAGTCTGGGTTACTCTGACCCCGCTGAATCTGTCACTCTGGTGGGCCGCTAGGACCACTGAATGTGGACCATGCCTCCCTGCGAAACAAGGCAGGTACTGGGGCACCAGACCAACTCCCACCATGTACTTTAGGTGCCTCCTCTATTTCTATATGTCACACTTGTTTGCCAACCAGTTTCATGGTGCACTGTAGTTAACAGAGAGCTCACCCAGAGCGAGCGGTCATTCTTGCCAACATTTGAAATGACCTATGGAGGACAGGCTCCGCATTCCAGAGGGCGACACTTCTCTCTTTCTCCCCAGTTTCCAGGTGGCTCTCTGGAGTCTCCCATTCCCCACACGCTGGGTTCCCCATACACATCCTACAGAGCTCCCTACACACTGTAAATACAATCCTACCACCGACGCTTGACCATGGCCACATCTTTTAAAAAAAGTTTTAGCACACTTTCATTCAGGGGAAAGAGGAGAAGAATTGGGTTCATTGTTCATATGCATTTTTAAGCAGCCAATTTGGGTTTTCAGGAGTAAAAAAACACTTGTCAGAAAAAAAAAGAATGATACAAACAATTTTCCATGTCATTTTTTAAAAAATCAGATGCTGTACTCGAGAATAGATTGCCATGGGAAACTGTAAAATTTCTTTCTCCACATATCTTTAAAAAGGCAAAATAAATACCCATCTGTTCCCTGATGGTGTAACAGCAAAAATGTTAGGAAAGCAGTAGAACGTATCACATCCATATTTGTAAAGACCTCTTTCAACCATTCATATGCTACTGCGCACATGTCAGAGGCAGGAAAGTGAAATGGTAAAAATGGAACACGAGATCCAGAAAGCAACACCTTTCAAGTGAAAATCTATAATCCTTGAAAACGTTCTCCGCAAAGATACTCCCTGTTGCACCGAACCTACCTAGATGAATTAGGAACTGCAAGGAACATATACAGTAATAAAATCTTCTAGAATGGCAGTGATGTGGGGGATGACATGCATGACCGAGCGGGACCCGCAGCATCACCTTCAGCGTCAGCCGCACGGCATTGCAGTCCTCCTGCAGCGGGTTCAGCTTCAGTGTCTCGCCCAGGTTGCTGCAGCCTGAAGACTGGTGCTGCATTTCACAGCAGACACACACCTCGACACTGTCAAACTTAATCTAGACAGAGGAACAGACAGAGCTCAGAATTAAAACGGCATTCTGCCCTGGTGGGGACACTTGAGATGCACAATGAAGAACATGTCTAGGTTCAAAGCATCCCATTCTAGTTTTCTTTAAGTCATAAACCCAAAACAATTTCTATTGACAAAAGCCATGAAAAACATCATTGGGAATTCAAATTCCTATTTTAAAAGCAATTAATAAAAAAGAAAAAATAAATTTGAAGAAACTTAAGCTATAAAGTTACAAAAAATTACAGATGAATTAACAGAGATAAAAGTAAATAATTGGAAAATTACTCATATTGAATTAGGCATAGAGATGTGTTCTCATAGCTCTGTGACTTGGCTCATTCTGCTCCCACATTAGCAATTTCCGGTCTCACGTTATGGTCTACCAAACTCCTACTCATCCGTCAAGACCCAACTCCAGCTCCACCATTGAGGCCTTGTCTGGTTTTCCCTCTCCAGAGCGTTTGCTTCTCCTTTGGGCAGAACACTCCAGCCCACCTCTGCTGGAGACTTACTTTATCCAGCTGTAGTTACTCTTGTCTTTGGTGCTCCCTGAGGGCAGCCACCACATCTTACCATCACAGGATTCACAACGCCAATGAGTTCGTAGGCATTCAATAAATGCTGAATAGATAAAAAATACCTCAGAAAATTAAAAACCACGTAAGGAAAGATGCAATTCAAGTGTTTTAAAAAGCCTGGAGCCCAGGAGGAGACCCACAGAGCACGCCAGACCCCAACCTGCAGCCTGAAGTGGAACCCCTCAGCCGGGCTGCAGAAATGCGTTGAGAAGTCACTGCATTCCGCAACTCCCACAGCCTCACCCACCTGCCCTCACTTCCTCGTTCCCACTTCTGGTTGAGTCCTCCATACTTCTATCATACACACACCCAACTGCTCACAAACACAGACTTCCAGAAAAGTGAAATAAAAAAGGGACAGCCATAGGTCAAGGGTATTGTCCATGGCCAAATTTTCATCTATTTTAAACTGCTGGATAGTTTATTCTTTACCTACTTTATGCTTTGTTTTTGCTTTTTTAATTTGATCTCCTAAAATAATTACAATTTTATTTCTGGATGTTTGAGTTGGGGGGGGGGCATTCGGGTGTCTAGGATCATCCTGTAGTGATTCTCCAAATCTACCCCCAGGCAGAGGGAAGAGAGCCAGGGCTGAGGCCAGGCCCCAGGAGGAGGGCAGTACCTGCACAGACTACTGCCCCACCCCACCTCAGGGAGGAGGGGTCAGGGAAAGCTGCCTTTGCGTTCAGTGCTTCTAGAGACGTCTCCAGTCTCCAGTGCTGAAGTCCAGGCTGAGCATGGATCCCGGCTAAAGGAGCCATAACAGCACCCCCATAATAACACTCCCCAGAGAAGGCACAGCCAGCACCCAACCCAGGGGCTCAGTTCTCGTCCTTCTCCCAGCTCCTCTCACGTAGACACAGGCAGCATGTCCCGCCGACCCACAGAACACACAGAACTAGCAAGCCCAACGGGACAGTGGCACCCGGTGCATGCTCTGGGCAAGGCCCCATCCTTGCTGGCTGGCCAGGCTGTGCTATGGACATGGTGACCCGGTGTTTGGCAACAATGCTGGCAGAGCAGTGCAGGCCAGACCAAGGTACACAGCTATGGTCACTAACCAAAATCTCCATTTTCATGTTATTGCAATATTTATTTCCAGTCCCAAGAAATAGGAAAAGAAGGATTATGATTCTCAAGGCCAAGTTTTAAAAGGTAAACAAGGGAAGAGGTAAAACTTTGAAAGGTAAAACAAAGGTTAAACAAAAAATAAAAGGAGGTAATGGACATTAACTAAATTTATTGTGGTGACCATTTTGCAATACATACATGTATCAAATCATTACACCTTAAATTAACACTATGTTATATGCCAATTATAGCTCAATAACACAAAAAATAAAAAAATAAAAGGTAAAAGTTCATACAAAGTGCCCCTCTAATTGGAGGTTCTGAGGTCACCCAGTGTGGGGTATGTGGACTCTGGCCATCAGAGCTGGGGATCTGCTCAAGGAGAGGAACGCTCTGCCTCCGCGAGTTCTGGACTTAGGAGAATGGGAAGGGAGCAGTTGTGAGGACACCACACAGAAGAGAGGCGAGGAGGGAGGCTGACAAAGGCTCTCTCCTTGACTGACTTCTGCCCAGGCTCCTCCGAGTCCTGTTCTCCACGAGGCCTCAACCTGGGCCTATAAAGACTTGAACATACAAACATAGTTTCTAACAGTTCAAGGCCACATCGCTACGAGACCCTCTCCCCTCTTAAAGGGCCTGCCTGAGAAAACTCAGGGCTGCCAGAAGAATTGACTGTTCCAGCCAACTCCTGAAGACAGGGCCCCCATCTCCCAGCCTCTGTGGGAGGTTGGGGGCCTAACTTCCGTAAGCGCCAGCTAGCAGACACAGCCGGCCTCATCGCATTGATACTGCCACCCCTTTGTAATTTTTCACCTCCCTGACTCTACTGAGGCCCCACTCATCCCCTCCCTACTCCCTCATTCTCCCTTTAAAACATCCGGTCACCTCTGTGCAAGTCGAAGTGGAGTCCAGTTCACGGTGGACTCTTCTCCATATTGCAATAGTATATTTCTGATTAAAATTAAAATTAATTTCTGATTAAAAGTCCTTCCCACTTCAGTGTCTGGCCTTGTTTATCTTTGACAAGGCCAAGCTCTCGGGATGTGGGGCTGGTGCTCCCACCCCTAAGGCAGCCCCGGGAGTGCCTCTCCTTGACCTTCTCCTGAGGTGTCTTACATGCCCACCCTCGGCCCTCTGTTTAAGGCACTGAGACTTACAACAAGAGTCAATAGGAAACAAAATTCCTGAAATCTGAAGATTAATCTGTAAAAATCCCGTAAAATCCCTGAATATCTGGTCCTCTTTGCTAGAAAATATTTATTTTGTAATTGTAGGCATAACTATGCCAACTTGTGAGAGTTGACGTTTCTCATCTGAAGCAAGCATAAGACAGTATGTGGAGGGTGGTTGGTTATGGGGACAAAGATGGCAGAAGAGGGAGAGGGAGCCACCCACTCTCACTGGCCTGCAGAGCCTGCAGAAGGCTGTGAGCTGGAAGGGAACATTTCAGAGGTTAGCGTTTATGTGCATGATTTTTATACCTTTCTGTATAATGTCAATGTGCTATATAAGGGCAGTAATGGGGATGACAGTATCCAAAGGTTTAACCCGACCTTTGCCTAAGAATCAGAAGATGGAAGCATTCACTGGGTGAATGGGAAGTAGCTAGTGTTCTTTAGACCTGAAATGTAAGTCAAAGTGAAACACAGCACATTTTCAGAAAGGAGCTTCCCCGAGTAGAGAATCTGACGTTGTTCCATGATAGACCCCTCCGTCTACATGCTCTCCTCCAACTAGAGATGCCATGAAATGAAGAAGGATGGGGAAGTCAAACAATCATGCTTTTTGCCTGGGAAACTGTCTCCTGTTGGTCTCAGCATGTTGATAGTGATGCTATCAGCTAGGAATGCCTGGGGTACTCATCTGGGCCATATCACCTGTGGCGAGCCCCAGACATTCCCCTGACCAGAGCCAACGTGGTGGCTGGACCAGCCCTTGTGGTTCTTATTATGATTGCCAGACGTACCTCAGCAACAACTATCAGGGAACTCTGAAATAAAAGGTTTATTGCTCACAAGTCCTGGAGGGTACACAGCAAGGTCCTGGGGAGGGAGGGAGAGAGAAAGAGAGAGAGAGGAGACAGGGCAGACTTGAGGTTCTGCCTTTATTGGCCCAGGGTGGAGTGTCTGGGGTTTTGCGGGTTCACTCTTTATGGTGGAATTTAAAACAAGAGCAGGAATTAGGGCGCGGGAAGGGAAAAGCAGGGTAACTCAAGTGGTCAGTTATCTGGGTCACTCAGGACTTTCTAAAAGGGGAACTTGATGGGTAGGTCTCCTTCAATGGAACAGAAAGGCCTAAAACAAGATTTGCAAGGTGTCCACAGCCAAGTCCTGAATAGTAAGTTTGAAACAGCGTGTCATGCTGGATGCTTATTAAAGAGGAAGTAGAGAATGCTCACTTTGAATTCCATGCCACAATCCAATACTTTCTGCACAGAGCACAACAATTTTTCCAACTGGAGAGGTAAGATTCTACAGTCAGGGAAAATCTCTTTTAGCTACAGTTCCTAGTGCCTCAGGTAATGCCTCAAAACCAACCATCCCCCACACAAGAAAAGGCACATCCCAGCAACTCACTGTGACCGCTATTGACAAGGTGGGACTGGGAAGGCCCACAAGAGGAGTCAGGTGCAGTTTGGGAGATAAGGAAATGGGGTGGCACAAACATTTCTAAAGGATGAGGACTTCACACTCAGGAGCACGCTAGGTTACTAGATGAGCTGGCAGACACTACCGGGGAAGCTGGTCAACTGGCTAGTGGAGGACAGGGCCGTGCCCAACGAGGGAGCATCGCCAGCCCTCTTAGCAAGGGTTCTGAGCCCTGCCTTGCCCCTCCCTGAACTCTAAGTCTAAATCTGACATCCCAGAAAACTCAGCTCAAACACACCCCTCACCAAACTTCCTTTCTTTGTCCCCCATTACTGTGTCCAGAACCATGTCCTAAAAGCCCTCAAACACCTTCTGGGTCCTTTGTTTACTCATTGTCTCCCCCTTGGGGTGGTGAGGTCTTGGGGACACAGCCCTTCTTCCCTTTCATGCCTCTCACCGGTTCCAGCATAGTGTGTGCACAAAGCCGGTGCAAAGCAACATTCTTGCTCCAGCCTGATGCATGTGGGCTGACACCGGAGCATGGGACCAGGGCTGGTCAGTCAGAACACCCGTGGGTCCTATTCCCTAATCCAGCTTGTTCAATGGAGAGATTTTTGAGCCATTTCTTTTCCTTTTTTTTTTGGTATTTTCGACAACATTTATGGTGACTTTTTTTTTTTTTTTTCTGATTACAGAAGTAATATATGATCATTGCAAAACACTTAGAAATACCAAATAAAACAACA